AGAGGTAAAAAAAAGATTAACCTATTTGGAAAATATTAAATGTGAACCTTAATAGATTGTCTATGGTTACTTCGTGATCTGTAGTCACGCTAACAGTCTCTTATTGTAAAAAACCTCTTGTTTTACAAGTAATGATTGTTGATTGGTTTTTAATAATGTTATTACGTAGTTACTTACGTAGGTACCTACAGAAACAAAATACCTAATTATGTCTTTGCAATTTAATTAAAAGAAGTCTTCATATGCAAAAATATAATATAATTTAATAGAGACAACGTATAAGAAAATATGAAACATATGTCGTAACATATAAAACATACATAACAGTACGCCTTTTATCCCTAGGGGTAGGCACAGGTGCACATAGAAGTAACACCCACTTTTTACTATTTATGTTATGAGTCCCATGTAATAGGGGGTGAGCCTATTGCCATATACCAGGCACAATTCCAGACTCCGTGTTACTACTGAGATTTTTTTTAAAACCCAGTAGTACTTTGCCCGACCCAGGAATCGAACCCGAGACCCTTGCCCGGCAGTCGCACTTTCGACCACTCGGCCAACGAGGCAGTCCTAACAATACAAACAATACTGATTACAATAAACATTGAAAACTATCACACGATATTTTTTACAGCAACCTATTTAAACACAATAAGTAGATAATACTTAGTTGTATTCACAATAAAAACATAGTAAAAAAAAAAGAATTAAGCAACACAACTTGTGTTACTGGATGATTTTTATAATACCAAAATTTAAGCAACTGTTTTTGAAATAAGAACCTTTTTTAAGCAGAGTCTGTACTTTAATCTAAGTGTCTACTTTATTTAACTGTTATGAAATAGGGCAGGAAAAACAGTAAAACTACGTAATGATCTGTCGTCGGTGGTATTTCCGAACCGATACTACCTTCAAACCTTCAAGAAAAGAGCTTATTTCTTTTTAAAAATCCGGCAATACACCTGTTTGTCCTCTGGTGTTGAGGGTGTCCATGGGTGACGCTGATCGCTTATCATCAGATGATCCATCTATCCGTTTATCTCCTATTCCATAAAATAAAATGGTGAAATTCATTGAAAATAAAAATGTCCAATAACATAATATGAAGAATACTTATAAGGTGTTCCTACCATGTTCCTGCTTATGTTCCACTTTCCTAAATAATATTGCATGTTACAATTACAACATACTTAGGTTACCCTAAAAATTGTGCAACATTTTTCGTCAAAAAATATGACACAACTTTATACTACACGAAATAAAAATTATCAAGAATTTCGATGATTAACAATTATTATTATCTATAGGTAGATTTTTATTCTCGTTTCCTGCCAAGTATTTTCACAATAAACACTGACCTAATGTTGAAACATGATATCAGTATTTTAAGTAAAGTTTCCATTTACTGATTTATCAGATTTCATGTTCTCAGCATTTGTACGATGACGTTAGCTAATTATTCTTATTGTTATTGCGAAACTTAGTACCTAAGTATGTTATTGTTATGAAATAAACAACATAATCTACGGTTATGTCCCAGATCTTGGTTACAGTTGAATATTAGGTCCTAAGATATTTCTGTGGCTTGAGATATTACGATAATATTTTTTTCGATATCGGTGTAGGGATATCGATCGATATCGAGGTATTAGAGGCTTTTATTAAGTATCTACAATATATTTAATTCGTTATAGGTACTTGTTATATAAATCTGAACAGTTTGTTTGATTAAACGCGCTAATCTCAGGAACTACTGGTCCGATTTCAAAAAATATTCTTGTGTTGGATACTGCGTTTATCGAGGAAGGCTATAGGCTATAAAACATCACGCTACAATCAATAGGCACCTAGCAGAAAGGACGAACTGCGAGGAAGTAAGTAGTGTTCTAGATGAAATAATTAATTTTTACAACAAATGCAAGAAAATGTTCCGCGTAATACACGTGATAAGTTCAAAACAGAGAAACGAGTCACACCAGTTTTTTTTATTATTAAACATTGGGTATGATGAAATATTAAGAAATGTTAACGCATTGTTCATTAAGATATCGTTTTAAAATAAAGCACGCAAACATGTCTATTCCATTATAGCAAGGAATATCTGTGAAAGCGAATAATTTCTCATTATTGTTTAAAGATTAAACAATGTTTGAACTACGTAAATACTGATGTTTAAATTTATCTATGACTATAATCAGATTTTATTGTGAAATATTTTGCTATCTTCTAAGTAATTATTGTTTTTTCCTAGAATAAGTGTCTACTTACTTGTGATTTTAATTCGTCATTCATTTTATGGTATTGCGAAATCTTCTTTTATTTGCCTGAGTCGAACATTCAGACGTTATTTTTTTCAATCTGGTTAGAGTTACATTTTTAGTAAAAACTTTATGAATGTTTTATAAAAGCATTTTAGAACAATATACAGGGTTTCCATAACTCCATATCCTTAAAATAAATATAAATATTGTTGTTGCTTAATTTAATTGTGTAACAGAGTAGAGTCCTGCGTCATCTTAAGTTTACAAACAAACAGCAAAAAGTCAAATGTCATCGCCATTTTGAATTAAAATACGCGGGAAACGGGAATCACGGCCAAACTTTTTCTATTATATTTTTCGCTATTTCGAGCGCTCGTTTGGCACTGATTCGTGAAATGTAGGGAAAAGTTTCAGCTGTGATATATTTTCGTGAAATTATGGCCGAAAAACAAGATAAAACCTATAAATTTTGAAGAAATCAGATTAACGTCTTTTTGTATCCGATCTTGACCAGATTACTAGATCAGATAGTTGGACTAGATTACTAGATCTATTTTTTAAACATAATGTTAGTACCGGTATTCGCGTATTGCCTACGAAAAATAATATATTGAGCAATGCTAGTTATTCTGTGCGATATAAATGACACAACATTATATGAGTCATTTTTTTATTTCGTGTGAAAGGCAACAAAGGTGTATGCGTCATCCGATATCTCAGTGCGGAAATTGTAAATGTCGATTCGGGGAAAGTTTTACGAAAATCGATTTTACGAATTGTTTGTAGAGGTATAATGGGATTTTCCCATTTTATGAACGAGGGAAATTATTAATCAGCACTTAAATCATTAGGTATGTATTATTTATACCGACTTTCCGAAGGGTATTTACGTGACATTGTCAACGTATGGGTACCTAAGTGATATTTAACAGAATCTTGTTTCTTTTATAAACACAATAGAAAATACATTGTGTGATTTGTCTCGTGTACTTAAATCTTCATTTCGGCCAACGTAGTAGGCAAGTGATTAGATGATTTCTCCACTAAAAAAAATGAAGAACAATGTAGCTATCCCTAATCCCAGAGTTTCGCTCGCATTACATACTTAAGTACCTATGCAGTATGAATGCGTGGTTGTTTTAACAAAATATAAAAATGTACACATTCATAGATACATACCGCGATACAAAGATCTTTTTAAGTGTAAGTTGTGTATAAATTCAATGACATCTTCACTATGTAAAGAAAATGGTTCTCCATTTGACCCAGATACCCTTTACAAGGTGAAATTTATGTCCTTCACCTACTTTTTGAAGGCTGAAATAAAAATAGGTCCTTGGTAAAGTGATATTCCTACTGTACATGTTTATTACAGGTTCCTATGTACACTTACATGTATAAATATGTAAGTATGTAATTGTTCTGTTAAGGAAAATTTAGGTGCCTACACACGGTAAACAATTAATGCTGTTGTTATAATTAATAATCATAATATCCTTATATTCTAATTACAATAATATATTAACATATTTATTAATAGATATTATATTGAAATAATACCTACCTACAAAACTTAATATACCAGTTATGTCTTAACTCGTCGAGTACCGGTTTTATAGACACAATTAAAGAACAATAGGTCGCGGTCACCGGTGACCGCTTGGTGTTTGACAGTTTAATCAACCCAATCCCAAAATTTGTTCATATAAAAGTAGTCTCTTAACACAGAAAATAAAGTCTATAATGGAGTAAGTGATGGGAACTGATCAGTTAATAAATACTAAAATCTACGTCTAATATATAAAGCTGACTTCTCAGTTTTTCAAATAAACAAATCAAAACAAACAAATCATTAGCGGAGTGGTCGCAAGTGCGAATGCCGGGCGAGGGGTCTCAAGATTTAAAAAAAAAAATCTCAGTTGTAGTACGGAGTCTGGAAATGCGCCCGGTATATGGCAATAGGCTCACCCCCTATTACATGGGAATCATAAAATAAATAGTAAAAAGTGAGTGTTACATTGTATAGTGGCATTAAGTGCCCAAATGTACACCTCTGCCTATCCCTTCAAGGATAAAAGGCGTGATGTTATGTTATGTTCGTGTGTGACAAATAGTGACAAAGGATAAGCCTATTGCCATATTCATACGGAATGTACCTAACTTCTATATTTATGGAGTTAATCTACCGCCGTTATTGAGCCTGGTTGTGAGATGAATCTTTAATATCAATATTTGCAAAGAGGCCTAAAGCTTGAAACTCGTGCCTATATTTTATACACAGTATTTGTGTAGTCTATGTACATAGCTAAGATGAGAGAGTGAGAGGTCGATCATATATCTAGCCTGCTCATAACGTCGATCCAGTGTGACCTTTGCAGACTTTGTCGGTGTAGTGTAGGTCAAATAGGAGATATTATAGGTACAATAATGTATTAGTTACTTGTTAATTTATACCTTTCATCGAAGGCATGAGCAGATAACTATATGTACACACCTATTTGTAAATTGAAGTACAATATATATGTATTTTAAACGATAACTTACGATTAGATGAGTTCTTAATTGCAATACCTTGTTTGTGTAGATACTTTAAACACCTCAGGTATTATATCTTACAATAAGAGCTAAATAAACACAGATAAAGACTAGAGTTTTAAGTACACGTGCACTCGTCTTCTATAGACTTCACACTTTACCATCAATAAATAAATACTACAACTACCATTGTTCTTGCAGAGAAATCCTCATCAAAAATGGGTCGGCGGTGGACGCGGCAGTGGCAGCCATGTTCTGCAATGGTCTCCTGAACCACCAGAGCATGGGGCTCGGTGGTGGCTTCTTCATGACGGTGTACCTGAAGGATGAAGAGAGGGCCTACACGGTGAACGCGAGGGAAATGGCTCCTGGAGCCGCTACCGTCGACATGTTCAATGGAAGCTGGGACAAGGCTGCGAAAGGTAGGTCTTTATATTTTTTTACGTATAGATGTCCGATTAAGACGGTATACGTCAGACATATTGAATTAGGAAATAAGTATGCTATTAAATGTCGTCACAACATTCTAAAAATTATTATTTTTCTATTATAGTAACGAAAATATTAAATTAACTAAAATCTCGGGTTACTCACGTGAATATACTGAGAAAATCTCAACTAGTTTCGAACCACAGAGGGGTTCTTCCTCATGAGCAGCGTGCGGGGTCGCGGCGACGACATCAGAGTCAGCTGCGCGACGTCGCCGCGACGCGTAGAGCTTTTCTCAGTATTTTCACGTGAGTGACCTGCGAATTTAAGTAATTTAGTATGTCTCACGATAGTTATTATAATAAAAACGTTATATTAAAAAAATATTATAATAATATATTATACAGTAATATTATCGTTTTTAACATTTCTAAATAGTATTTGAGCAATTGGAATCTACTCTATTATTATATAAAATTCTGTAAATAAATACGTCCATAAACACGATTCTAGGTTCAACCTATCTTTTTTTAATACCATTTCCATAGAACACTTAGGTCATACATTTTCATGAATTAAAACAATAAACAATAACAAATAGGTACATTGTACTTAAGTGGCTTTTCCGAATAGATAGCGATAATCTTAAGATAAAATTAATGATAATAATAATAAACAACAAAACAAAATAATCAACAATGTTTATCATCAGCTGCGATAGCACGTAGGTATCTTGCTATCAACTGTTATGAAACGAGGTCAGGTTTTAATCTTAATGTATAGATACATTAAAACTTGTTTATTTAGGTAAATAAAGTTTTCAGACTTGTCGAAAAAATTCGGATTCAGTAACCGGCATTAAATATTGCACGTCGACCTTTAGAAAGAGACAATCGGCTATATCGGCTCATATAGGTACCTTACTGTTCATGATTTTGAGTTGATCAAACTAGTTGAGCACGCCTCTTCAGACTCTTCACTACATACATACATATATAGTATAAAAAACAAAGTCGCTATCCGCCGTCTGTCTGTCCCTATGTATGCTTAGATCTTTAAAACTACGCAACGGATTTTGATGCAGTTTTGTTTTAATAGATAGAGTGATTCTTAAGGAATGTTTATACTTATGATTTAAAACGAAAAATTTTTGTACAACTGACTGCGTCGTTGGCCAACTGTCTTGGGGTCTTCACTCACTTGGGGTCTCGGGTTTAATTCCCGAGTCGGGCAAAGTATAACTGCTTTTTTTTAATTCTCAGTAGCAGTAGCACGGAGCCTGGAATTGTGCCCGATATATAGCTATAGACTCACCCTATTACATGGGACTCAAAACATAAATAGTAGTAGTAAAAAGTGAGCGTTACATTGTACAGTGGTATTAAGTGCCGTAATGTGCACCTCTTCCTACCCCTTCGGGGAAAAAAGGGCATTATGTTATATAAGTATAATTTTGTACAAATAAATAATCGTGATATCAGACCAAATTGTCCCTTTCCAAAAGTATGTGCAATATTTATCGCCACAATACCTGATTAATGATTGAAAGAATTTTAAGAATCTCCAAGTGGTCAAACCTTCTCCGTGCGAGAAGAGGCCTTAGGTCAGCAGTGGTCACTTATAGGCTGTTAATGATAATAATGATGAAGACTCTCCAAGACGACTTTTGAAGACTACTTCAAAAGACAGAGGCAGGCAAAACAGGGACACAGAACTACTAAAGCCATACGTGACACAATTGCCGTAACCAAGAGATATAATATTATCACAGGTTGGCTGATTATAAACGAAATATTTATGTTATAAAAATAGATAGACTGTGTTATATAACAAGGGTTGTGAAATGTGCCAAAGTAATACAGATTTTATGATTATGACTTAGTATACAATTTTGGTTAACAGGTTACGAGATAACAAATCAGGTGATCAAGTTTTTGTAGCGTGCCCAGTCAGTCAACAAATAGCTGTCTAGGTTTCCTGGCTAACCAAAGTTGATCTTATTTTATCTACTAAATTATACTAAAACAGTGTTTATAGCCATCTTTATCTAGCTATTTATTCAATGAACTTGTCAATTTATTTTCCACATTTAGTATTGAACAGCATAATAGCAACAAAATGTAACATTGAATTGATAGCAACAATATTATAGAACCATGGAGAATGAATTTATTTTGGAGAGCAGAGACTCAACTTCAAACTGCCATCGATCGCCGGGCAAGCGAACGGCACTGCAGTAGTGTGCGCTTAACATACAAACACGTTCACCTACACTCAGAATGAAGGTTCTAGAACGATATTGCACACATAGTTGGAAATGAGTTCTCTATTGAATATTTACTCATGTGCTCGTCGGATGTTCGAGAAAATTCTGGATATATGAACGGAAAGTGCAATCGAGTGGATCCGACTGTGCGTGACTCGAGTATTGAGTAATGTGCTGTAGATTACCTACACGTGATTTTAATAATAATCTATTATTTTTTTGTTTAAATTAGCTTAAAACACTTTTTATCTTAATAAGAGATAAATCCTTTTTAATCGTAATTAGAGACTATTATCAACATCAACAGTCTATACTTAAGTGCCCACTCCTGACCAAAGGCCTCTTCTCACACGGAGAAGGTTTGAGCATTAATCACCACGCTTGCTCAATGCGGGTTGGCGATTTCAAACTTATAATTAGCAATTATAAGCCCAAGTATCCTCACGATGTTTTCCTTCACCGTTTGTCAGTGGTGTCTAAATAGCCCTAGAAAGTACATATAACTCGGAAAAAGTCCCAGTGGTACTTGCCGTTGGTAGGTTTCGAACTCGCACTCTCGTGCATATAAAGCGGGCGTCTTAAACCTCCGAGCCACCACGACATTGGACATAGAGGCTATCATAGTCGTAAAACAAAATGTGGGACAAAGTTTAAAAAAAAAATAAACAAAGAAACTTTTTCTAATGATTACAAGAAGAAATTACAACATTTTACAATAAGCAACTAAATTGCAACTTACATAATATTATAATAAGAACAAAACTTGCGTGTTTCACACAAAAAACAAAAGAGTAACGATTACTAATATCGGTTAATGATCAGTATCTATTGGAAACGCTCTAGATACAAATGTGATACACCGAAAATATCACGTTCTCTAACAATTAGTAATATATTGTAATAAAACAGTTGAGTACATAGATATGACACGGTTTCTATATGAATTATTCGTGTTCTATAAATAGGGTTAGGTAAGTTTCCGTGTATTGGCGGCATAGTCAAAAATGTTTTTATAATAACTATATCGTGAGATATACTAAATTAACTAAAAATCGCTGGTTACTCACGAGAAAATACTGAGAAAAGCTCTACTAGTTTCGAACAACAGAGGGGTTCTTCCTCATGAGCAGCGTGCTCGGTCGCGGCAATATCGCGCAGCCTACTCTATTAGGCATGGTGACGATATTTGTTACCATATCCCCTGACTAAGTAATTACCATCATATTTAGCAGATACCAGACAGCAACCTTCTCTGGTAAACCTGAACCTTTTAAAGTACGATTTCCAACCCTTCTATAAAGCGTAAAGATCTTGGGAAGCTCCTCATGAGTAGAAGAAACTCAAATGTCGTGAACTATCACGGGTTGAAGATCATGATGAGGTTGCAATTTAAGGTTCTCATCATCACGGTGAAGTAAGCTGAAAAGAACTTAATTGTGAACACTTTTTATTGAGGGGGGCAAATTATCCAATGGCTTCTCTGGCTCGGGCGAGGCGAGAGGGAGTGTCAGACTCTTACTGACTAAAAACCACCCCGTTCTACTCCTGCACTTCGAGTCGGAGCCCCGGTAACCCGTTAAGTCCTCCACGGCTCCGTATAGGCACCAGCCATTTAGGGCCCCATCTGTGATGATCTGATGGCTAATTGTAAACACCTTAGAAACCACTTTTGATTAATAACCTACTCTATAAAACCTCTATAATATTATTAAGAAAAGTCTAGACTTTCCTACCCTACTTTTAGGTTATCTGTGGGCAGTTGCGGGGTGTCGTCGTCGGGTCGCGTCTATCGATCCGTCTCATTCAGACAGGCTCTCGAATGCTAGAATAAATTCTAGAATTTTCCACCCCTAGTCGTTATTATTTACTAAACCCTCGTATTTTGGCAAATAGTAGATGTCGTTTTAATGGAAGTGTCTGACTGTTTCGTGCGATATTTCTCAAAATAATTGCCCATAAATAAAATTTTATTTCTATTTCTTGTTTTTGTCGTATTTGTGATGAGGCAGAATAAAAAACACTGTTTACTTTACAATTCCGAAAAGTATTTGTTACGACTGAGGAGAAGGTTTTAGTATATTCATTAACCGACTTCAAAACAATAGTTACGTAGTCAGCTTTTGAGCAGACATCCACAAGAAGACCAGAGCTAAATGTATTCTACTTCCATCGCCATTCAATAAACAGTAGAACCTAATTCATCGAACCTCTTCATTCTTGATAGGCCTCTTTGCAAAAAATCTTGAAGATCAAATGTCAGTATGAGCACTCATGCGTGACTACAGCTAAAAAAAGTGCAAATCAATCTGTACCAGGCTAGCTGCTAAATTGTTATTGTCATTTTCTATTCTTAAAAATATATCTACATTAAAAATGACAATTCGTACCTATGTACTATATTATATGTATGTAACCGAACTATAACTATTTTTAGACTTGACTTGAATTTAATATTGTTAATAACTTCCAAACTTTAACTCAAAGCTTCGCTTCCCATGTGATTGATTTACAGATTTACAAAAAAGTATGTTTTTTTATACTACGACGGTGGCAAAAATGGCTCACGGCCCACCTGATGGTAAGTAGTTACCGTGGCCTATGAATGCTTGCAACACATGGGGCATTAAATGCGCCTTCCCGACCTAATAAACCTAAATATAGTATTCGATAACATAACATAACATCACGCCTTTTATCCCCGAAGGGAAAAGCAGAGGTGCACATTAT